CCTTGTGTCAGTTACCAGAGGGAAAAAAGTTCGTGCCCCGTGTCTGGGCAAGATCAACAATGGCCAATTTAGCCCTTTTATATGATAGTGATATCATACTTGATAATACATGGGGACATACCTATCTAATCATATCAATTAAGGTGCAGTAAGGGATTTTCACAAAAAAAAATCCAACTTGAAAATATATATTGCAGGAGTTACTAATGATTGATGTTAAAATTATTAAAAATTCCAGCTCATTATTGTTGTTTTGAGTAACGTTCATACATGCATATTTATAGTGATTTCCCCGCCATTTAATTTCTATAACACCCATAAATTAGAAACAGTAATAATTTATATAAAAAGTAAAGCATCCGATGTACACATTTTTTTTTCAAATAGTGAATGCGGAAAAGTGTTACTTTTGGAACAATTTAAAAAGGGAATGAAATATAATAATCTAAAATTTTTGTGAAATTCTCTTACCGAACATTTTAAAGCGGGTGTGCCTTGTTCCCAATAACAGATCGGTACAAAATGAGAAATAGGCCATTTTAACCTGAATAACTTTCTAGACGCACGCATAATGGTGATAGCATATACATTGTGTACTAAATCCAACATATTTTTATAGCAATATGATATATCTACTTAATAATATACTAAACATTTGGGCGTGTGTTATGCCCATTAAAGGAAAGATATTAAATATCTGTCCCTGTTTCGCCATTAAGCTAGAAACCGGCTATTTTATCTTTATTTTCTGCGCCATGTTAGCTAGAAACCGGCTATTTTAGCTTTATTTTCTGCGCCATGTTAGTCTTCTCACCGACTACCCGACACAGTGTATCGATAAATCCTGTTCAAACAATGATTTTACCTTTACTCCTAAAATGGTGACAGTTTACTTTATATTATGAATGTTTATGTAGTTGGGGGGCATATCAATAAAATGTCGTGTGTCCAAAGTTCGAACCCCGTGTCTGGCCAAAGTGTAAAAAAATCTGATTAAGCCCTTTCATCTATATGGGTATTTTCACCCTTACTTTGGATATAAGATACTAGTTAAACATATTCGAGTAGATAAGGGAAATAACTATACAATCATATCATTAAAAAACATGGTATCCATTGTTCCCGTAATAATTAACAAAGCGACAACAGTGTGAGTTTCTTGCATGTCTAAAATAGGAAAATGGCCACTTTAGGCCTCTTAACAGCGCATTTTACCATTCTAGACGCACGCATGATGGTCATAGCATATTATAGTCTACATATTTATATAACTAAGTAATTTCATCTACTCAATAATAACCTAAACACTGGGGTGTGACTAATGTCCAATTGTGGAGGGACAAAAATCGTGCCTTGTTTCTGCCATAAGCTCGAAGCTTATTTACCGAGCTGTTTGCTTTTCTTGCTACCCCTAAACGATGATAGTATACTTGCGTAGGTAAGGGTAATACCTACAAAATTGTATCCTAAAGAGCGAGATACGCCATGTGTCCATTAACAGAGGGACAAAAGTTTGAGTCCAGTGTCCGGCCAAAGTGCGAAAAAAACCAAATCAGCCCTTTTGACACCGCATTGAACCTATATTGTCACCCTTTTTATGGTGATAACACGCTAGACAATGCATATTTTTTGAGATAAGGGACATACCTTTACTACCATATCATTAAAAGCACGGTATGCATTGTTCCCGTTAACAGACCGACAACACCTTGAGCCCAGTGTCGGTCCAAAATTCTTAGCCCTATTAACACCGCACATAACATCTCTAGGCGCACGCATGATGGTAATAGCATACGATAATCTTTATAGTTGTTTAGCTAAGTGATACATCTACTCAATGATACCCTTAACAATTTGGTAAGCCTTATGTCCATTAAAGGAGCAATTGGGTAAGCCTTATGTCCATTAAAGGAGGGATAAAACATCGAGCCCGTTTCTACCACAAGCTAAAGACCGGCCACTTTAGCCTTAATTTAGCATGGCATATTACATGCATATGTTACTTACTGTTACATTTTCATGTATGTTAAGGATACAACCGACAACATCTATCCTCAACAGCAGGGTATGCCATGTGTCGTAAACAGTGAACAAACGTTCGAGCCCCGTGTCCGGCCAAGTGCATTTAGCCCTTTATAGCCGCATTTTACCTGTACGAGTATTGTCACATTAATGATTGTGATAGAATACTAGAAATTACATATCGGAGTAGATACATGACATACCTATACATTATATCATTAAAAGCGGGGCATGTCTTGTTCCCTTTAACAAAGCAACAACAGTTGGAGCCCGATATATGTACAAAATGCCAAAAAATGGTATTTTATGAACTTATTAAAGTGACATTGTGCTCATATTTTCATTGTCAAGTTGAGCTGAATTGACTATACATGTTTGTCAAAAGATTAAACTGTTTAAATGATGTTTGACCAATAGATTATATTGGAAAATGTTTAGGATAAAATTTAATATCTGCCTTAAATATAGAAAAATCTGTCCCTCTCTTTTTATTAATTGAACGTTACAGGTAAGTTCTAAATGATATTTACTGAAATGTCGTTTGAATCCTTTTTGTGCATGCGAGGTAAATTATTAAATCAAAAGAAATTATAACAAAATGAAAACTTATTTTGACTCTTACCTGTTCACTCACTTTTTCCTTTACATGGGCATAATGTCACTTTAATAGCGTATTTCACCTTTCTAGATGTACGAATGATGGATAGTATTCTAAAAGATACATATTTGTATAAATAAAAGCGATATACCTATTCGATAATACCTTAAACATTTGGATATGCCTTCTGTCCACAAAAGGAGGAGCAATATCGTGTCCTGTTTCTACGATTAGCTCGAAACCCGTTTGCTTAATGACCGTTCCATTATTCTAAGTTATCTTACATTTAAGATCATTATGGTGTGAGAAATCAAAACATTTTAATAGACCTTTTTTCTTAATTACTTAAAAAAATCTTGAATAGTAGTCTACAGTTCCTAAAAATGACCATTTCTGTATATTTTGTCTGTATATTAAGTTGTTTACTTGGATAAACTAGCCATTTATGCATACAAAACACTTCTAATCCATATAGTATTTGATAATACAAATCTTGAATAAACGACCCTAAATTCTAGACAGATACTGGCCTCCTAGATATATATAACTTTTATTCAATGTGCCCACTAATAAGTTATTCTCTGAATTTAACTAGATGAAATTTTCTGAAAGAGTAAATTATAAAATGGCCATTTAAGTCTACAGCATGTCCCCAAACAACCATATCCCTGATTTTTGCTAACAAATACAAACAATAAATCATTTGTGACAAGCTCAGCGATTTTTGGCCCAAATGTGATATTTGGGCGAAAATGAGTTATGACTAGTTTGCGGTAGAACAACATCTGCTGAATAGCTGGATACAATTATTTTTTAAAAAAAACTTGATATTTTATGAAAAATTCTAATTTGTATGACATCACCATAACAACAAAAAATACATTTTTAACTTTTATTGGTATATACAAATTAGAAATTATTCCATAGTTATACACAATAAAATAAAATAAAAAAATAAGTGACCATTCATCTTAGTGTAATATAATGTAATAACTTGATATAAAAACAATAGTTTGTTTTCAAAAAATCGGTTGCCATGGCAACAAAAATTATAAAAAAATCATCAAATGCAATATTTTTGCACTTAACATGATTAATTCGTCACCAAATTAATGCATATATTATATTAAAAGACAACAATATTTAATACTCTTCAGAAAAAAAAGGATTTTTCATTTTATCCTTTAATAGTTATTGATATTAACTTTAAACATAAGAATTAAATTATCAGAATTACAGTAACTTTTCCATGATTAAGGTTAATATCATAACTTAAGTAAGTCAACTTTAAAATGCACATCTATAACATGATAGCATATAAAATATGAATACAATGCAAAACAAATATTCTGCACTGATTGCAAAAATGGTGTATTTTGGTTGCCATGGTAACAAAAAAAATGCAAAAATAACTGAATGATTTAAAATAATTGCATTTTATAAAAAAATATTCCTTTTCACAATAACTTCAAAAGTCTTTCAGAATTTTAACAAAAACAAAAAAAATAGAAAGGGCTTGCACTAGTTATGTTCCTGACTAAATTTTCAGTTACAGATATTGACAGTGTAATCATATTCTGATCAGTGTATTTTAAATTGTATAATATGAATAACATGTTAGTATATTTTTAAATTGAAATAATTTCAATTAATTTAAAACAATTACAATAACAGATTCTAGCAAACATGGGAAGTCACAAATGAGAGTTCATTTATGTCCTTGAATTATAGTCTTGCAACCCCATGTTTAGGGTTTGACCCAAACAGGGTAATAACAACTATGTCTCCTCATATGTCTTCAGTTTTTGTAAGCAAAAAGTGATTCATATATAAAACTTGTTTCACAATTAAGTAAAAATATTGTAACACCTGCCACTGTAGTATTCAGCTTTTTCAGGGATACTTCTAAAGACAAATTCTATGAGAATGTAATTCACTTTTGCTATACTGTCAAACATAGACAAGTCATTGACTTCTCACATGCCATCCTGAAATAACACAAACCTGAATAAGTATAAATGAAACAATATAGTGTATATGATGATTTGACTACAATATAGTGTATATGATATTTGACTGAACAGAAATGAACTATTGGGTTCATATAATGTCTTGTTCATCATGTAAGTTTTTGTGTAAAATATTGCAGTCTATATATCATGTACAAGTGGCAGTAACATTCATCTTGAACATGACTAAAGTAATCTGAATCTACATATGTGCATGTTTTGTTGTTGGAACACAGCGCTCTTTATTTCAAAGTAAAGAGAATGTGGAATATTGCATAAATATACATGCTTACCCAATTGAAGTGTTTTTTATCTTGACCAATACAGTACAGTTGATACGAGTGATTGTCTTTTTCAGTCCATAACCCTCAGGTGATCAATAGGGCATAGAACTATGTCACACATTGTGCCTCATTTCCAACAATAGTTTAGTATATTCATCAGCAAATAGGTGAACTATCTATGTCTTCTGAAAATTATGTATATATTTTTCAAGAGCTTAAAATTATTGACAGAGTATTTGCATAAAACAATACAGCATTATTTTTAAATATAAACTTAAAATTTAGTTCATGTTACAGTACAGAGTTATGTAAATTTTAAACAATATTTTTAAGATCTCATCTGACATCATATATAAAATGCTAAATTGCAAATAAGTTACATTACTTTCAACTGCATTTCAGGAAATTTATCAATATCATTATTTGATAAAAAGGGTTGAGAATGGTCAGTTTATGATGATTATTTACATATGTATACAAAGATTAAATTCATAGTGAATCATTTGATCTTTACACCAAGTATCAAAACACTTACAAGTACATTTCCTTGAAGAATATGGCTCCAACATGCTGGATAATCATATTATCTACTTCAAAACTCTGATGAACTAAGTTGAAGATCTTAAATGTATGTTGGCTGTCAGACCTAAAATAACAACACAAAATATTTCATCAGCAAAAAGTGCTGGCTCATGAATGTTAAAAATATCCTGATAGCAGGGCTTCTGTTATAAAGTTTAGGAGTCATTTACACCTTGATTTTGGCTTCCAAAATGTAGCCTAATGCTTTTCCTTCTTTACCTACAAAGTGACTTCCAATTACATACATTTTGCAGTCTTTGACTGCCAATGTTTAGAATTTAATGGAAACCCTGCTGGTAGAATATGCCATGTGGTATGAGTAATGTGAATATAATATGATTTATTGTAGATACTACCAAAGGCAAAGGGCTAATAAAAATAAATGCATTTTAATATTTATCTATGGTCACATCTTCAATCAAAGTACTAGATTTATTTATTGTATTTCAAAAGCAGCATGCAGTACAAGGATAACATTTCCTTCACTAAATTGATCTTGAATTGTAATAGAAATTCATTTGTCAATAATTACAGTACTGTACTGAAGCCTTGTGATATATTTCCTTTTTTAAAAATATTTTATACAGTATAAATCTACTTGATGTAGATCTATGTCAAGCTCATTCTTTGTAAACAAATTGCAAAATATACTATGTGTCCAATTACATTTTTTGTCATAGTGATGTAGAAAAAATACTGTAGGTACTGCAGTAAACAAAAATGAAGTGCTAACTTTTGTTTTATTTTTTCTTTTATTGCAGCATGAACTTCAATTTATTTTGTAATGTAATCAATGTCTAATTTTGAAAAAGGTTAACAATAACTTTCTATAAAGACCATGACAAATACAAATCGAGTGCAATAAACAATGTATCCCAAAAAATTTGTCTGTCATGACCTGACCTAAATGCCGGCCATGTTTTTTTTTATATAAACCAGTTCAAGTGTCATGGTCCCATTTATTTAATTGTTTAAAGTAAAAATACGATGATTATTCATATTCAACATATCAAAAAAAAAAAATAATGAACAGAAAAAGCATAAATAATAAAATATGCACTTACCTTTATATTTATTTAAACCTCCAAATATGCAGTAACATGACGTAAAAGGTAGTGAATCTACATGTGTTTACTCGCTGACCTGACTCCTAAGTTTACACAGTGTATTTATTCTAAATATAGATTTTTGGGAAATCTTTATCGTGGAAGCTGAGAAGGGCTGTTCAAAAAGTATTTTTTGATTTCTTTCTAGCTTATTTTATTCTTTCTACTTTCAAAGATACTCTGTTTTGAAGGGAAACCCTAAAAATTAAGACATGAAAACTCGCGTGACTTTACAAGCGTTTTTCTCACAATGAGTAAAAACTCAATTGGGCCAAAAATCGCTGAGCGCGTCACATTTAAGTATGATATATACAAAGACTTCTATTAGTCCCAAACCCTAAAATTAATTTCTGAAGAAAATCCCTACCATTGAAAATTAATTATCGAAAATGACGGTTCTCTAATGGGCTGGTATGTTCTAATATCACATATAATTTCATACACTTATGTCTCATAAAATTTACAATTTATACATTAATTGTTTGTATTCTTTTTCTTCAACTATACGTGACGTGTCTATGCTGTATACATGGTGTATTGTTTTGTTTATATAAATGTTTTGTTTGTAACTGTATATACATGAATGTATATTTTAATGTAGGCAAAAAGGAAGTCTGGTCTCACTATTTTGCTCCTTTAAACTTTTTTACTATAATCATAATGATTATCATTATTTTCAAATGATATAAAAAAATCTAAGGTTGGGTACCGTACTTAGACATGTGCAGCTAGTCCAAGTTATGAGAAACATAAAAGTAGTGGCAAGCAAACGCCAGTGTACAAGAAACATACTTGACAAGGCTTTCAAGATAAAAAATTGATCAAATCCATGCAACCTAAATTGTCATTGTTTATCTCTGTATTATCTTTAATATATGTAACCTCAGGCATAAACTCAGTTTTATAAGTACGTACAATTCAAAACTTCAGATATTATTAAAAAGTATCAGAATACAGAAAATGCAAACAACAGAGGCTTTAACAC